GCGGCATTTCAAAGCAGAGCCGCACACAGCCCCCTCCCCAGCTAACCCTGGGCGCCACGCGGTGCTGCCACTTTGAAATGCCGGGAGGAGTTGGACGCCGGGCCGCGTGGTGCCTGGTCTCCCTCCTTCCCGTCTCTTTCTTACAGAAAAAGCAAAAGGGGGTGAGGGGGAAGCAACTAGTCGACAAGCTTGTCGACTAGCCCTTCACATCCCTAGGTTGTAGAATCACCATCACTGGAGGCTTTGAGCACAGGCTGGACACACAGCTGTCAGGGCCGGTTTAGATTTATTTGGTGTTGCCTCAGTGCTGGGCCTGGACTTGGTGACCTCCCAAGGACACTTCCAGCCCTGTGTTTCTAGGACTCTTGTGACCTGACATTGGGTTTGCGCCAGCCCACCCGAGGACCCTGGCCACTGCTCTTTCAGGGGGCAGCCGTCGGGTGTGTCATGGAAAACATGCCAGCTGTGTTCCCATGCCCAAGCAGCCATGCCCTGAAACGCCTCATGGCTGGACCGGTCGTTCTCTGCCCAGCTTGAGTCCAAGCCCCAGAGGTAGACGCGCCACACGGCCCAGCCGGGTGCCATAAATGAACCCAGGTGGCCGGCCAGCTGATCTCAAGGGGCTCCTGAGAGAACACAGAACCCGTCGGGCTGAAATTTGCGCCTCTTTATTCCTACGCTTCCTGCTGCCGCAATATATACAGATGGTTTATTTATACACATAATAATATACAGAATTAGATTTATATCTCTCTCTCTATATTCACACACAGACACTCACGCCCCCTTATGAAGGGATGTGCCCAAGAGCTCAGCAAACCTCCTCAGCCCGCAGGGAGGGCGCTGTTCCCAACACACCCAGAACGGTAAAAGAAACCCCCATAAACAAGCTAGTTTCTCAAGAAAAATTACAGGAAATGTGAAAAAAAGTCTTTAAAAAAGGGGGAGTGAGGAGGGGCTTTGTTTGGTAAGTGAAGCAGCGACTCCCTCCTGACCAGCGGCAAGTCCTTCCGGTCGGCCTGGGACAGTAAGAGCTACAGTCGCAGCATTCCCTGGTGCAGGCTGCTCTTCCAAGAGGCTGGCAGGCGTCTGGAGCCAGGGTTAGGCACTCTCCGTGGTGCATTGTGGGTTGCGGATGCTGCCAATGCTATAGCATCTCCGTCTCGCTGCAGGCAGGCAGCTTGCTGCCGGGGTTGAAGTTCCGGTAGCCCCGCCCACCAGAGACGATGGCCACCGAGGAAATCTCCTTGCGGTGAGTGTCCCGGGCGCACGGCCTGCTCCGCACCCAGACGTCCGGGTCGTCAGCCATTTCGTAGATGGAGCCGTCCTCCTCGCTGTGCTCCAGGGTGTTCCCGCCCAGCGGCAGAGAGGCCTCCTTCACCGAGAGCAACTGTCCAGGCAGGTGGGAGGTGGAGGGGAGGCGGTGCTGCAGGAGGATCCCCTTCTTCCTCATCTCCCTGGGTGGGTTGTCGTGGGCACACGGCTCTGGCAACGGGCCGTCCGGCTTCTCCTCCTGGCCGCCCTCCTCCTCCTTGTCGTTCTTCAGCACGTCCGAAGCCAGGGTGCTGGCGGCCACGGCCAGGAATTCCACAGGGCCACAGTGGCCGTTCAGAGAGACCATGCCTTTCCCTGGGAGCCGAGCAGGGACAGCGTGCGAGAGAGACAGAGAGGGAGAGAGGGAGAGGTTTTATTAACAGGAAACGCTTCAGAAAACAAATCAAGTTCACGGCTCATAAATATTGCAAGGCTCGTCTGCCGAGCCCCGGCGGCTCCCTGCTGCCTCGATAACTAGAGCACGATATTCTGAGAGGCACAGACGGCCGGAGCTCTCCGCGCCTCCCCG